TTCCCCATATATCAGGCTTCTTTCTGCCCCTCCGCCAGAGAGCAACCTCTAATCAAGCTGGTCCCTGAAGGGTATACTATTCCCAATGATGAGTCATGGGGTGCAGGTGACCAAGCAAAGCTGAAGGAAGGTTGTGGTCACGTGTAATCAATATAATTGTAAACACGGGATAGGAATTTGATTAATTGACTTGCTTGTCTATAAAACGGCCATTCTGCCCTGAGGCACTGCCATCAGTGCCTCATCGGTGAACCCTTTTCTATCGATTGGCTGCCATTGGTGCCTCCTGTAAGTTCTAATAAGCCGATGTTTGTCTCTGCTGGACCTTCAGGTAACTTCTTTGGAATATGTAAAGAACCTTATGCGCAAGCCTCTCAGCTTTGGGGTTACCTCGCTGCAACTTACAACTGAACATTAAAGAACAAAAAGAAGAGTGGAACAGGTGGATGAGGCTACCAGAGGAAAGTGGGTCAGAGGACAGGGGAGGGAACTTAGGGCTCCTAATGCCACAGCAGCGAATGAGGAGGGAAGGGCAGTGACACAAAAGGAAACTGGTAGTGGATGATCTAGTGGAAAAGGGGAGTTCAAACTTGTAGCTGCAGCCAGGTGTTCTTGGTAACCCTCAACAAACAAAGGCAGACTCAGGTGTGTGACTTGAGCTGTCAGTGGGAGGATATGGGGAGGCTGCCAGAGATGGGGTGGGGAGAAGGAATTCTGCCACATCTGATGACCTGCTCTGTCTCTGTTGTGCTTTCTGAACCAAGCCAGCTGGGGACTGGGCAGAGATGGAGATGAGCCTGAATGGCTAGAGGGGAGGTAGTGAAGATTCCATAAACCAGCTGGAAGTGCCTGGAAAGAGGCCGAAAGCCTGCTGTGAGCTAAGGAGGAAGTGAAGGGACTCCATGGTGTGAAGAGGAGGAAGGAGCTGAAGGAATGAGTGTTCTGTCAGCCAGATTTAGTGGCACCAGAATAGACAGCAAGCATTGTAGGAGCTCACCCCTTCTACAGGAGCCCTTGTTCTCCCATTTCAGCCTGCTTACGAGGCGTGAAAGGACTCTCTCCACTCCTATCCAACTTCAGAAGATGGTTAAGGTTGGTCCTGAGTCTTGCTTCTCCTCTCACACAGCCTCACTTAGACACCCTGCAGAGTTCAGGAAAAGCCCTGAATGGAGATCTGTGATGAGAAGAGTGGGGGGGGGTCAGCTGGTTGGTGCACCCAACAGACAGCTCTTTTTTTTTTTTTTTCTGAGTTGGAGTCTCACTCTGTTGCCCAGGCTAGAGTGCAGTGGCATGCTCCCGGCCACCGCAGCCTTGACCTGCTGGGCTCCGGCGATCCTTCCACCTCAGCCTTCCAAGTAGCCGGAACTATAGGCGCACACTACCATACCCAGCTAATTTCTTTTTTATTTATTGTAGAGATGAGGTCTCACCAAGTTCCCCGGGCAGGTCTTGAACCCGTGGGCTCAGAAAATCCCCTCGTCTTGGCCTCCCAGAGTGCTGGGATTACAAGCTGAGCCACTGAGCCCAGCCAGACAGCTCTTTTCAGGGGGCCCCATCCAGTGGAGGATATGGTTCTGCAGTTACCCCTGTACCTGGTGCTAGGGGGATGTGAGGTGGGATAGGAGAGGTGATGCCCACCAAGACTGACGGCGGTGGTGCAGTAGTTATGATGCCAGACTGGTAACCAGTGAGACACACTTTAGAGGAAGCAGGCAAGGATTTGGATATTTGGAGAGAAGCACAACTACCAGTGACACTTTTATGAAAAATATAAAGGGAGAGATGAATATGATATGCCTTAAATCAGGGATGGGCTGGCTGCCTGGAGTGGAGGTTCTGTATTGGGAGGTGAGGTGAGATTGGGGACTGGGGGACTTTAAAAGCAAGAGAAAGGATCTCTGCATCGTCTGTGGGATACAGTGGGCAACAGGAGTCATTTCTGGCTCTCCTTAAGGGGGGATTATGTGCATGAGCAGGGCAGGAAGGAAGATGAATTAGGCAAGAATGGGTAGGAAGAGCTAAAAGGCTGGGGTCTGCGAGATCTTTGCAAAACGTATGAAAGAAGAAAGCCATGTCCATTTTCTAAGTCTTAAAGGCATATCATCATTTTCTCATGTCTGTTTACTGTGGCAGACTTCCAAAATCCTTACTGTAGCAAGTAGACAAATTTAAAGAGCATTTGTTGAAGAATATCAGGAAATATGTTCTGTTGGTTAAGTACAGGATTAAATATTCATTTTTTTTTCTTGGCTGCAGCCAGTCTTTCTTATTAGTGCTGGTTTATATTATTTTATTTTTTGAGTTGGGGGTCTCTGTCACCCTGTCTGGCATGCAGTGGCAGGATCATGGCTCACAGCAGCCTCAACCTCCTGGGTTCAGGTGATCTTTCCACCTCAGCCTCCCAAGAATCCGAGACTGCAGGCATGCACTACCACACCTGGCTAAACTTTTTAAATTTTTTGTAGAGATGAGGTCTTGCTATGTTGCGCAGGCTGGTCTCAAACTCCTGGCCTCAAATAATCTTCTTACCTCACTCAGCCTCCCAAAGTGCTGGGATTACAGGTGTGAGCCACTGCATCCAGCCAGTATTGGTTTATTTGACAATTATTTGACAATACATCAAGATAATTTGAGGTGGGCCTGAAACTGACTTAGAATGCAAACCTTTATTCTGTCCCATAGGTCTGTCTTCATATCTCCACTAGAGCACTTAAGATGGAACATAAAGCAGCTTGATGTCTGTTTATCTCCCTAGACTCTGAATTCCCCAAGGCCATGATTGTGTCTTATTGACTATATCCTTAACACCTGCCTCATGGCTTTTTAAATAACAATTGGTGAAGGGGTGGGTAGAGAATGATTTACATGAAGGCATTTTTTCTCTGCTTCTTACTACTCTGATTTATGCCTCAATTCAAGCTTATAATCACTAATACTCTGTATATTGAGTGATTTGCATGGGTCATTTGGGAGGGAATGTATTGTGATAGCTGTACTTCAGTCTGGTTACAATGCTAATCCTTTTAGTGATGCCTTTTATCCTTCCATTGCCATATAACCTGTCACGTCCTCAGCATCACTTGTCTCAGCTACCCCCTGCACTGGCACTGGCTCCCTAGTCTATGTTCTCATGGGACCTTATGACTTTCCTTTGTAGCACGTAATTATTGGAGTGATTATTTTGCTAATGTGCTCTCCAACTATGCTAAAACTTTCAGGAGGGCAGAGATATGCCTTTTGGTTTCACCACTGTGTCCCCAGCACCAAACACAGTACCTGTACACCTGACACCAACTATGTTCTGAATAACTATTCATGGAACCAATGAACTCTGGTGTCTGGTAGACCTTAGACATGAGATTCTGTTCTCCTCATCAGTTTATCTGTATATTAAAGGTGATTACTAAGGCTCAGGTGATCCTTCTGTCTCACCCTCCTGAGTAGCTGGGACTACAGGTGCGTGTCCATAAATTTGATGAGGGGAACATCTGCCCTGATACATCTTCCAGTTTTTCTTTTATCACAAAAAGAATGTGAGAAGCCACTGTATGCCCTGCTATACAGTGACCAGGGGCTTGTGTGTGTGTGTGTGTGTGTGTGTGTTTGGCTGGATTGAGTACCCAATTGATACCTAAGGATTCTCAGGAATAGTTAAGTTTATATGATTGTTTGAATAATCAGCATACTATGGCTGTGGACTTTTATCTGTAAATTATGATAATCCAACTGTAAGTTCTACATTGACTGAGGTCTGTGGCAAGATGATTTTGTTCACAGCCATGGGTTATGGTGGGTTTCATGCAGTTACCTTGAGTGGTGGTGTGTTGGGGTAGAGGAAGGAAAGCGAGGTGCAGGAATGGGCTCCTACTGCCCTGTAACTCAGCCTCGGAAGTGACTTGGGCCAGGCATTAGAGACAGTAAAGTCCATGTTAGGCTTCTTGGGTATTGTTGGCAGCACAGCAGCTGTTTACCGACAGCTGATTGCTTAAGAAGTCAACTCTTGCCAGATGGAATCCCTGGGCTCTTTTAAGCCTAATGGACTCAAATGTTAAGGAGGTTTAAATGAGTCTAGGGTAGAATTTGCAAAGATGATTGTCATCTATTTAATATTAACCATTGTAATGTAAGTCCTATTTAATATTAACCATTGTAATGTAAGTGCTCAAGACCATGCAAGTATTCACATGCATGTCCCACCACTTAGGTGATTAGACTTCAGGGACTGATTCTACCCACTCCCCAGGCATCCCCAGGACGGATGTTTTGTGAATACTTCAGTGACTATTCATCATCTCTTGCCTTCCAAAGAGGAAAACTTGATGCAGCAGAATTCCTTAGCATCCTCATTTCCACCCTCTCTTCCTTCCATGACACTGAAAGAACAATTCACATCTTACCCAAGTCTATTTTCTGGAGTTATGTCCTCATTCCTTCTGTCTTCTGTAATGCGTTAGGAATAATGCACTAGAAATTTCATGGGAATCTACAACATGCCAGACATTTTACACACATTATCTCAAATACTTACAGCCCTGCAAAACAACTGTTATTGGCCTATTTTGGATACCCGGAAAACTAAAGCTGAAAGTCACAGCTAGTAATTGGCAGAGTTGGGATCTGAACAAAATTCTGTCATTTCAAAGTCAGTGTTCTTTCTGAAAATAAACAGTAATAATAGTATTTACTGAGCAATTATGTGCCCGGCAGTAATTCTTATAATCAACTTAGGGTAGTTGGTTGTCTACTGAAGAAAAGTTAAGGATGGGAAACTGGAAATCATAGAACTTAAGAATGTTACCCATGATTGTTGAATAAAAAGCAGACCCCAAATTTGAATGGTTTGATCTGGTTGCAAAGGCTTTTACCACATACTGAATTTTTGTGTTCTAAATTGGGTAAACCAAGGTAGAAAGTCAATGGCAGTAAGGATAAGAGGAGCTGAAGGACCATGTAGATTCTAGATGAAATAGAATCAGACTTTCTATTCCTTGACTTTCTAGATGTCAGCCGCCTCTGGTGCAACCGGCAAGTCTTCCAGTATGAATCCCACAGAAACCAAGGTAGGAAGAACCTTCAAGGGTCAACTTGGGGTAATGCTAATTTAAGTTGATTGTATTGTAATGCAAAACAAATGTAGACTAATTGTTGACAGATGAGTTAAGTGTTTTAGGAAGCTTAAGTTATGGAAGAAAATGCCCCCCCATCTATGGGGGGGAGTCTTTGAAAACTCAACTTTCCTTCTCATATTTACCTCAAATATCATCTATATAGTTTTAGAGTTTCTAGAAATGTATTTTTGGTACTACATTTACTTACATTTTTAAGTTAAAGATAGTCTACATTTCTTTATGTCTAAGTGAGTATAAATTCTTAACTACTCTTGCTAAAAAGGTTTTATTCTACCCACATACAAATAAATATAAAAATAAGAAATATTATACCAAAGGAACATAGAAACAAGTGAAACAGACACAGGTTATTTCAGATGCTTTCTAAAGTTTTTTTTCTGAAATTTGAGTCAAGTGGGGTACCATTTTATTGACAAACTTTTTTGTTGAGTTCTGGAATTTATACTTACAATTATTTCTTGGAATTTAGAAGAAAAATAAGAGTGTCCTCTAGTGGGATTGTCACGTAGAATAAGACTAGTTCTGAAGAGTTGGCTGAAGCTGTCTTAAACCCTCTCTGTATGTCTCAGAATCCTTTGTGGGGGCAGGCTATTTCAGGGTGAGGATTGCAGGGGGAGAATTTTCAAAATGCTCTCAACTAATTCTTATGATTCAATATTCTATAATGCCTTTAAGGGCTACTTCAGCTTCATTATTATTAATTTGCCCTTGTTTAAAATCACCAACATACTTTTGCTTTCTGTCTTCCTTATTACTTTGCTGGCCCCATGTTTCCTATCCCAGATGATATGCATTATAATTTAATACTAGTGGATCTAAGGACTTATCTTGAACTGTCTTCAGAGAACTTTGCAAACGTCTGGAAATGTACTATCTCTAAGTTCATATAAATGTTATTTAGCATTCACTTTAATTTTTAAATTTATTTTATCTAAAATTCTATTTTTATTAGTATTTTACATCAGTTTCTTGTCAAAATATACATTGTATGATTCATAATCTATTAGCTGTCACTAATTATATCAAGCTTAATCTTAAATTAAAAGTCTTAATCTTAAAGTAATATTAAAGACTATAGTAGAAACATCTACAAAAAAAATTCTCCTTGAACTTAGATTTCATGAAAACCAAAGAAAAAAGATAGAAGAGCAGGAATTATAGGATTTCCTTTGTATTCTTTTAGTTCTTTCTTTTTTTCAGACACAGAGTATTGCTTTGTCACCCAGGCTGGAGTGCAGTGATCTCAGCTCACTGCAGCCTCAAACTTCTGGACTCAATCCTCGCACCTCACCTTCAGAGTAGCTGGGACTACAGGCACGCACCACTAGTCTCAGATAATTTGTTTAGTTTTTGTCAAGACAGGGTCTTGCTATGTTGCCCAGGCTGGACTCAAACTCCTGGCGTCAAGCAATCCTCCTGCCTTGGCCTCCCAGAATGCTGGAAATACAGGCATGAACCACCATGCTTGGCCTTTTGGTTCTATTTTAACCTGTTGCCGAATTCTAATCCCCCTGTGTCTCAGCTTGAGGACCAATACTTATTTCGAGAATGCCCTGTTTTCTAGAGCAAATGTCAGTAAACCCTTCAGCTTTCTCCAAGCATTAGTCATAAGAATTGCTGGCAGTCTTATGAAACTGAGGGAAGGGAGGAAATTAGGAGAGATAGGAGAGGGAGAGCAAATAAGATACACAGGATGTCCCCAGTAACTGACTAGGGACCACTTTTGCCCTCAAGTCCCTTTCCTTGGTGAATTTCAGTCTCACTATTCTCATTAATCATCTTCATGTGCCTCCGATGTTTGGCTCATAATGTTTATACCAGTCTTGTCTTGGAGATGTTGTGAGCTTGGTGAGTATTTGTTTCCAAATATTTTGAGCTTTTAGAGAAGAGATTCTAATTCAAGAAATACATATACTGAACTCTAGTCATATTCTGCACCTATAACATAAAAATTAGTCCAGTTCTGAGAGGAGAAGATATGACTAGATCTGTGTTCTGTATCTCTTACCCCTGGAACATCAGAATTGGTAGTCACAATGCTGGGTGTAAGAGGGAAGGTCAAATCATTTCTGATCGGGCTGCAATTCCCAGAGATTGTGTCTCATGGACACTGGAACTAGACAGCCTGGCTTGGAATCCTAGCTCCACATTGGCTGTAATATTGTACAGTTCCTCTTTGCTTTGGTTTTCTTATCTGTACAGATTAGAGGAAGTTGATAATAGTGCCTATCTCATAAGACCATGTAAGGAAACAAATGTATTTGGACAGTGCCTGTCTCATAGCAAGTGCTCAGCTGGAGCTTGCTGTGCCCAATACTGGAGAACCAGTGCAGTGGCTGAGAACACACAATCCTAGGTCCACCATAAGTTTCTTTGGGAAGTCACTTAACTGCTTTAACCTCAATTTCTCATCTGTGAAATGAGTAAAATAATATCTGTCTCATAGGGTTATTATGAGTACTAACATGTATATAGCTATATAATTGTATTTATATAGAATATGAAGACTACATATTGACACATGTAGAGCTCAGAATAGTCCTTGGTACCTAAGAGGTGATTGGTATGCATTGGTCATTATGGTCATTATGATGTTTAACACTGCCACTATAGAAATAAATTTAGCAATTACTGATTATAATGTGCATTGAATTATAAGCTGCTGTATCTGTGAGCATACATTCTTAATTATAGTGTGGAGTTCTCACATGCAGAATCTTGATTGCCAATTACAAATTGGAAGCCATTAATAGATTCAAACCACTACAATGCCAACTGGCTTATTTTTCTTGTCAATTATTTAATAAATTATATTTGCATAAACTCAAGAAGGTTAGTACTATAAACAGAAACTCATTAGCAAGGATGTGGTGTGAAAGGACCCAAAATTTAAAATTTATTTAACGACATTTCTTCAATCATGAACTTTATTTCCTTCCCCAAACAGTGTGTCGGCATAACGAGGGACCATTATGTAAGGGAAGTGTGTGCATCTTCATAGCTGAAGTCCAAGGCATTTTCAATGAAGAGGATATTTGACCTCAACCTCTTCAGACAATAAAAAATAGAAGTCTGTGCTGAAACAGTAAAGCAGACAAAAGGAAAATAAATGGCAGGAAGCATTAGACCTAATTTTTAATCTTTCTTTAAAAGTTCATAAAATATTTAACCAAGTTTATTTCTGATTTTATATCTTGCCTATATAGAGAATACATGCATGTACTTAAGGAATTAACTTTTTTTTTTTTAACACAAGTAAACTTTAGTTGGGTAAACTATAAAATGTCACATTAAAGTTTCTAAATTACAACCAGTTCTTCAGAACCATTTCTAGAATTTTAAATTAGATCTCTAAATATAGGGCTCTGATATGCCCAATAAAAATCCATGCACCATATATTTAGAAAATTTTTTTAAAGAATGTGTTTTCAGAATTTCACAATTTTCAATAACACCTGTGATTATTATTTGATCATAGCCAAACATTGGAAAGACAGGTGGGAAAATATTACTTATGTAGCATTTACACAGGGAAGGAAGAGAAAAAGAAGGAATGAAAAATTCATTTTATTAATGGAAATCCTACTGAACAAAATATAAATTCAAACAAATATTTACTTAGGACCTTAGGCAGGGGTCCTCAAACTTTTAAAACAGGGGGCCAGTTCACTGTCCCTCAGACCGTTGGAGGGGCGGACTAT